CGCCACGGAAACGACGAGAAAGAATCAAACCTTGTTGGAGCGGCGGAGCAATTGGGAAGCGTAGGTCATGTTCGGATCCGATCTGATCGCAGATCCAATAGCACGAGCCGCAGCTAGGGTTTTTCCCAGCGAAAGAGGTATTGAGGAACTAAGGGCAGATCTACCGAAGGGGGGAAGAGCTAAAACGAGACGAGAAGACGACGAGCAAATGAGGGCGGAAAAAAAATAGAAATGGAGGCACGCAAGGAGAAGGATATTATTTTATTTATTAACGGAGGCGGGTGCGATTTGGAATCCTTTTGTCAACCTGCCTTTTCATTCTTTTTTGGGAAAATTGCTTGGAGGAAGCAAAATAAGTTAGGTCAATCATCCTCACCCCCAGCCCAACAACCATAACCCATAGGCTCTAAAATTAAAAAATATATACAGCCAACCCCCAAACCCACTGCCCAAGAAACTCACTTCTCACTGTCCAAGAAATTAATTCCCAAATTACTCATTCTTCCCAATTTAAAACCCAATCCCTTTCCTCCCCTCCCCTCCTCCTCCCTCCTCATCTGCATCCTCTCCTCCTCCCCCTTCCCCCTCCTCCCCGACCCCCTCCTCGGCTCCGTCCACCTCCTCCCCCTTCCCCCTCCCCTCCCCTATGTGTCATCTCCGACGACCCTTGGCTTTCCGTCGGAGGAGGAGGTGGCAACGATAAGACACGCGACGTCATCTCGAATCTCGCTCACCTCGTCCTTGGAGGCATCGTCAAGCTTGTCCAAGCCCTAGGTCAGATCTTGAATAAGAGATCTCTGGAAGCTTCATCGTCGGCTTGCTCTTTGGTTTCGTCGGAAGTTCACATCACTCGCCGACCGAGGTCTTGAAGAACTTTAAGGAGATTCGGAGGCTGAGGATCGAGCTTCTAGCTGGTGAGTTCGGGGTTGAAGATGGATCTCTTTTGAAATGGAAGGTTGGTTTCGAATCTGCACTTAATAGTTGTGTTATACTACATCTTCGTCGTCGTCGAAATCTCAGAGCTCCAGCCCTAATTCTACTAATTCATCGGAATTATGTGGTGTTGATGATAGCAGGACAGAGGATTTATACTCAATTTGTTGGTTCTTTTTCCTTTTTTAATTCAACTTCGGATCATTCTTTGTACTGCAGATTGCTATGTTGTTAGATTAATTTGTTGGTTCTTTGAAGAAAATTAGGTTGTAGGTTTGGAGAGTTGTACTCTATTTAATGGGTTGAAATCATTTGGGGGATGATTTTGATATAATAATAGCTCATTTCTGTGTGACTTTTGGTGCCCATATGTGATATTTTAGTATGATGTGTGACTTATACTGCATTTAGTCACATTTTGGTATTTTGTGTGACTTTTGTGGTTGTTACGTGACATTTTAGTATTCTGTGTGACTCTTGGGGCCCATATGTGACATTTCAGTATTCTGTGTGACTTTTGGGGCTATTATGTGATATTTTTATATTCTCTGTGTTATATTCTTGTTACCAGTTAAAATTGCAAAGAAAAGAACAAAGAAAATTGACTTGTATTCCTTTGATTCTAATTACAATTTGATTACAAAAGAGAATAGAACGAATTTGATTCTCTCCTTTGTTTAAAACTGGGTTCTTCTCAGTAGCGATGGAATGCCTCCTTCGATTGCTCGCGTCGAATTTGCTCTCTGTTGACGATCCGACCGCCTTCTATCTCGTGGGAACGATGAACTTCTGTGGAAAGTTTAATGGGTAACTCTAAATGAGTTTAAGAACTCTGAACGAGTTAGAACTCTGTTAAAAGAGTTGTTAGAACCAAAAATTCGGTTAATGACCAAGCTGATATTCTGTTGTTGAAGAATCCTCTCAGATTTGATCTTCTGAATTTGATTCAAAAATCCTATCTCCAAGGATTTGACTGCTGCCGCTGTTGAATTACCAAACCTGAGTGGTTGAGATCCTCCAAATCCAATCTGCTGCTCCTCTTCCGTTCCAAAAAGCCAGCCCCTTAACTCAGTTGAGTTTGTTGAGATTTTATAGGTGGATAAGAGGTTGTAACTGCCCTCTAAATCCGCTCCTAAGTGGGCGTGATTTCCTCAGATCGTGGGGAAACAGTTCTGAAACCGTTCAGCTCGTATTTGAACGAGTCAAACGCCCAATCTGGCGTTCAGAACCCAACGTCGCCTCTCAGAATTGAGACGCGATGTTGGGTATTAGCTGAACACCAATGAACGCGGGGGTCACTCGCGTTTGGTTTATTATAGTTTGGAAACACGGGGGGTCGGTGTTGGTTGAACCCCTACGAACGCGAGGGTCGCTCACGTTTAGCTTGTGCTTGGAAACGCCGAACGCGAGGGTCGCTCACGTTTAGCTTGTGCTTGGAAACGCGGGAGTCGCCTGCACTTCCAGAATTGCAACGCGGGGATGACATCCGCGTTTTAGAAGGAGCTAGTTTGACTTGTAACTTCTTCTGTAAAGCGTTGCAAGGACCGTTGTTCAGTAATCCTAGCTTTAGCTGTTGTGGAGTGTGAAAATCGTCAGATTGTAACTTTCACTGCAAAATGTGAAGACTGTTGAATAGAGTTTTTATCAATTGTCGGAAGTGTCGTTGAATTGTAACTCTTCTCGATCTATGTGAAAAGTCCTCCATTTGTAGTTTTTGATTGTCGGCGGGAAAGCTATTTGATTGTAGCTTTCGTCGTAGGAACTTGACGGGAATCAACATCCATAGTGTTTTTAGATGAATATTTGCCCACAGCTCTCTACCAAGCAACTCACCAACTACGTCCAACCTTTTATTTCTGAAATCATTACATTGCTCATCAACATCTCTAATAGTTGCTAATATAATATTAGTCATGTTGTTGTCGCAACCATCAAGATCAATCATCTCAGAAATGAGGCCGTGTTTGTAGCGATTGTAGAATTGCGAATACAGTGATTAGACAGTCGTCTGATTGTGACTTTCATTGTCGGAGCTTGATAGGGATCAGCTATCCATCGTGATTTTTAGACAGCCTACAATCCTGCTATTAAGTGTTATGTTATATTTCTACAAGTATGATTATGCCATACATGCGTATTTTTTTCATCAAGGCGATCCTAGAGGGAAGGGAGATAATGAACGTTGAAGCCTTGCACATGGAGTCGCATATGCTACGAGTAGGAGATTAGACTCTACATGTAACTGTAACATTTGTTTAAACGCTATGATGTAAAGGATAACTAGTTTACTAGTTGTGTGTGACATTTGTTGGATTGTTGTGTGAGCTATATGTGAAGATATGTGACCATTAGTATGATGTGTAACGTTTGGGGCTTTTATATGACGTTTTAGTATAGTGTGTGACTTTTTCTTCTTGTATGTGTCATTTTGGTATTCTGTGTGACTTTTGAGGCTGTTATGTGATGTTTTAGTATGCTTTGTGACTTTTGCTCCTTATATGTGACATTTTGGTGTTCTGTGTGACTTTTGAGGCTGTTATGTGATGTTTTAGTATGATTAACGTTTCCTAACAGAATTCAAACTCTTTTTGTGACTGTTGTCTGTTACATGCTACATTTTCCCTTTTGTTGTGATATTTGCTACTTAAATGTGACATATTACCTGTTCATGTGACTTGTTAGTATTAACAGTGATACCTGTAAGAACTTTACTTTTAGATTCCATTTAATATGCTAAAGAAAAAAGATCACCAAGAAATTACAAATGCATATTTTATCATTTATAAATAGCTAGTAAACATCCAACATCCAACAAATGAAATAGTTATGTGTTTGTCTATTACTTCCACTCAATCAATGGTACATACCAAAATGTCACATAATCGGAGCAAAAGTCACACATCATACTAAAACATCACATAACAACCTCAAAAGTCACACAGAACACCAAAATATCACATATAAAGAGCAAAAGTCACACAGCATACTAAAACATCACATAACAGCCTCAAAAGTCATACAGAACACCAAAATGTCACATATAAGGAGCAAAAGTCACAGATCATACTAAAACATCACATAACAGCCTCAAAAGTCACACAGAATACTAAAATATCACATACAAGAAGAAAAAGTCACACACCATACTAAAACGTCACATAAAAGCCCCAAACGTTACACATCATACTAATGGTCACATATCTTCACATATAGCTCACACAACAATCCAACAAATGTCACACACAACTAGTAAACTAGTTATCCTTTACATCATAGCATTTAAACAAATGTTACAGTTACATGTAGAGTCTAATACTTCCACTCAATCATAGGTACATCACTACCCCCAAAGTATAAAAAATATTCTCGATCATCACTGTCTAATTTCAACCGCAGTTTTTTTTCATTCACGGCCTTCACATATGAGTTGAGCAGCAAGTCCTACTCGTAGCATATGCGACTCCATGTGCAAGGCTTCAACGTTCATTATCTCCATTCCCTCGAGGATCGCCTTGATGAAAAAATACGCATGTATGCCATAATCATACATGTAGAAATATAACATAACACTTAATAGCAGGATATGTAAATGGTAACAAGAATATAATACAGAGAATGTAAAAACATCACATAACAGCCCTAAAAGTCACACAGAATAGTAAAATGTCACATATGGGCCCCAAGAGTCACACAAAATACTAAAATGTCACGTAACAACCACAAAAGTCACACAAAATACCAAAATGTGACTAAATGCAGCATAAGTCACACAACATACTAAAATATCACATATGGGCACCAAAAGTCACACAGAATTGAGCTATTATTATATCAAAATCATCATCCAAATGATTTCAACCCATCAAATAGAGTATATGTAACAACCGTGAATTTTGATACGTATTTAAATAAAATTTTCTAGTATTTAAAATAATATATTATATTTTATTAATACTTTTCCTAATTTCTGGAATTTTCTGAGTTTTCAAAATAAATAAATAATAAAATATATAGTCTTGTATTTTTAATTCTGCTAAATATTAATTTACGGTTTAATAATTTTTATATATAATCTTTTGGTGATTAATATTATTAATGACCTTGTTATTATTGATGTAAACTTGAGTATAGTAAAATAGTATATAAATATTAATAAAAAAAGATTTTTGGTTGATTATTAATTATTAAAATAATTCAGAATATTAGTTGAGATTTTCGAATTTTTCCCTCTCTTATTTTCTCATTTGAATTTGAATTCCTTCCAAATTTTTACTCAATCAATTCTCTAATCATCATTTAACTATTTCCTATTTTCTCTCACGTGATTCTCT